TAAAGCTACAGCCATTAAAAAACGTCCCCCCTCCCCACCCTGGGAACCACTGTTCTTTCTGCCGCAGTGAATCTGACTACTCTAGAAACCTCATGTACATAGTCATACAGTGTTTGTCCTTTTGAGGCAGGCTTATTTCACTTGGGTTTATCTGTGTGTAGCATGTATCAGAATCATACTCCTCTTGAAGGCTGAATAATAATCCATTACATGCATGACTCCATATGGTATTGAAGAGCCTGTGTGGTCTCCTCATTTTGGATATTTACACCCTCTTTCTGTTGAGTCACACTGCCCTTCGTCAGTCCAGGAGTGGTGTCCTTATTCTCCATATGACATTCCCTCCGATGACACCCCCCTTCGTCTTAAACTAAGTATTTACCATAAATATCTTCATATTTAGTTTCTTGGGTCCTAGGAAAGCTTGATCAGACCCCCTCTGCCAGTTACATTCATAGAACTCTGTATGTCCTTATGGTGCTTACTCTAATTATTGCTTAGTGACTAGCTGTGTGTTGTTCAAGAACTGCCTTCCTTAAGGCACTTGTGTGGTTAATGTTACATCCCTTGCTTCTGCCATAATGTAATAGGTACCCAGTAAACGGTTCCTAAATAAAGCCGTAGACTGAGTGGGTAAATGAGTGAGTGTTGGAACAGACGCTGAAGCAATGTTGGATCTAGAAAAGTCACCTTGCTGAGGCATGGAGCTTGGCCTTGTCATTTCTGTGTTGATGAAAACTCTTTTGGAATAAACTTGTTCACTACTTGAAGATGTCTCAAGAGTTGCCAAAACCTAAACAGTAGCAACAATGAAAGATAGGCCACCTCCTCTGAGCACTGACTCTCTCTGTCAGGCTTGGGCGACTCCTTCCCAAGTGTTCATTTTGTCTAGCCTCTCAGAAGTGAAACAGAGGTGCAGTTCTATTTGGGTTTTTATTTCCAGATCAGAAGACCAAGCGAGGCTCAGAGTTTAAAATAGTTTGCTTAACTCACTCAGCCTCCAAGTAGTAGCCCGAGCGAGGGCGGAGCCTACTGAGCTTTGTAGCCTGGGATTGAAAGTTCCCCTCACTCTTCCTCATCAAATGGGTACTGTGCCTTGATTTTTTTTTTTTTAATGAAACCAGACTTTTGGTAAAAGAATTTGAAAACTCTAGGCTTGCAGTACCAGTTTAACCCGGATGTGCCCTTACCAGCCTCATGTTCTCCCTTCACACCCCCCACTGTGCTTTTCCCACAAAATGCCCTTTCTGTTCTGGGTGTGACATTGCTGTGCGTCTGCTGAGCAGTTTCTAGACCCCAAGGCAGATAAATTGTGCTAGCATCTGCATGCTCCCTGCAAAGACAGTCCTAGCAGCAGTCACGGTTTTTCTTAGCAGTAGTTAGTAAGTTTTTTCTACCATTTGACTGAATCTCTGGGAAAGTTGGACCAGGCCTGCCTCATTTCTGCTGTGTGCCGCCCTGGCCCAAGATCTGGCATGGAGCACAAGGAGCTCAGCCATTGTGTGCTAAGCAAATGCACACCAGTGCAGAGTTGGTGCTCAGGAACCTGGAGTGCAAACCCGAGTGCACCCTCAGAACTCTGTCATGAATGTGAGCCGCAGATGACCAGATGTATATTAATCACTGGTCTGGAGAGGGATTAAAATATTTCCATAATATACTGCAGTATGTTTCTTTTCTAAAGCAGATGTGCCCTTATTGCTTCATGAGGAAGTAATTAAATGTTTGATTAAGACATTCATAAACACTATCATTTATTTGAGACTACTATATGCTGCTGTCTTTATTGGTACTTTGTCTTTGTTGTCTCTGCCTCTCTGAATCACCCTATAATGTGTCCTTTTTCATCTTCATCTTTGAGGCAAGGACACAGACTCAGAATGATTGAGCACGTTGCCCATGGACCACTTTCTGAGGGCTGAGATGGCAGTGAAACCTGTCTGACTTCAAAACCATTGCCTTGCTGTCACTCTGAGTGTCTCCTCTGGTGCTTCCTATGCAGCACAAGCTCAGCACCGAGCCAGCATGCATCTGCCCTCTCCTGCTGGCCCCTCTCGTGCCCAGCGTCCCCAGCTTCTTTCCTGTCCTTCCTGAGCGTCCCTCATTTTCCTTATTTCTTTTTAATAACTGCTTGTGTATTTGAATCCTGAAACAAATATTTTTGACAATGTCAGTTATAATTAGACACAATCAATTACATTTAAAAACCTGTATTAATGGAATGGTGATATAACATTTACATTAATAAATACAAAAAATACATTGTATTACAGCCAAATAGGATTTCATTTTCATATAATCTTTGTTAAGGTTTTTGAGTCTAAATTTATGTTTTTAAAAATGTATATGTTGAAGAAAGCAAGCAGTGAAAGGTTGGTCAAAATTTTTCATTAAAGGTTTCTCAACAGTGGAATACCTATTTCAAATTATGTATGAAATACAAGATTGAAATCCTCAATAAGATCTTTTTAGAGAGGTTTAGGAGGTTTCTTCCAGCCTCAGATTCATTTATTTTCTGCCCCTCCTAGTATTTCAGCAGGATTAAGTTTTTTGAATCAGTGGATCAAGTTTTAATTTTCTTGTTCCTTCCTTATACTGACATATGCTTTGGCAAAACAAAAAAGAGACTTAAACATGTCAGCATGATTTTTGTTCAGTGAATTAAAAACCATAAAAGTAACAAGATCTGATCCAAATCCCTAAACTCCTCACATGGTGGTTTTGTCCTTTTCAGCCCCAAGATTCATATTACGGACTTTGAAGGCTTTTTCCCCGGAAGCAGAAGTGCATGATTGATGTGAGATACATTGTAAGAGTAGGCAGCATAGAGTAGGCCAAAGAGTACAGGCCAGAAAGATCTGGATTTGAATCCTAGTCCTGTCACTCAGGCCCATGGGCCAGTCACTTAAATCTATGAGTCTCAGTTTCTTCATTTGAAAATGGGTATCCTGATTTGAAGAGGAGTTTGAAGAGGATTGAGGAGGTAACATGACATAGCTGTCTACTTTGTCTTCAGAGGTTGTTCTTACTCAAAATTCTTTCATGTTTTTGTCATCAGAGAAAGTAGTATGTAGGTGCCACAAAATGTTCAGCATGTACTCAATACTAGTCCAAGCTGAGCATGTACCCAGAACTTGGGAGTGTCCTTAATAGGGTTAAGAAGCATTTGCCAGTGATGCCCATGTCAGAGCTGAGGAATTTTGTTATATTAAGACTGATCAATGACTTTTGAGACTGGCTCTTGTAGGTTTGATTTCGAATAATGCACCATACCTGTAATCATAGCACTCAGCACTCGAGAGACTGAGGTAGAAGGATCATAATTTCCAGGTGAGACTGAACTACATAACAAGATTTTGCCTCTAACAAACCAAAAAACAGCAGCAAAAAGATTACACACTTCTTTTGGCTTTATTTCTTCAACTATGAAAATGAGTTCATGATGCTATTAGGCTTCTCCTTTTTAAAAATCTGTACCCCATCCAGTTCTTCAAATGAAACAGTTTCTTTGTACCTCAGTGCTTTTGCACATGCAATCCCCTTGCCCTTGCTAGTACTGGAAATATGGGCTTACTCTTCAGATCTAGCAAGATGTAGTAGTTAGGATAGTGTGAATTATGCTGCAGTAATAAGCAATCTCTCAACTCTCCATGGCTGGTAAGAGTAAAAGTATATTTGTCATGTTGTGTGTGAGGTTCTGTTCATTATAGTCATCCTGCACCTGAAATGATAGAAGCCCTGTCTCAGCTTGTGCAGTGACTTGGGCACATGGAGAGCACACACTGCCTCTGAAAGTGTCTGCCCTGGGTGATGCTCACCATTTATACTCATATTTCACATGTTGTGTAACCTGACCTCAGGGTGGGGTCTGCATTCCTGCTCTGACCTATGAGGATGAGAGAGCCAAAGCAGCAGAGAGCAGACCTGATCCCATTTCTACAGGAACATCTTCCCCTGCTGCCTGTCCCCTACACTTGGAGAGTTCCTGGTGGACTGAGCTGTTCCCTCCATGCCGCCTTTTCTTTCCCCACCTCCCTTACCACTGCGTTTCTCAGACTCTATTATAAATCCCTTCCTGCCTCTCTAGCTAAGTTCTTTAAGAGCTGGACGGAGGTCTCTTGCCTTCCTACGAATCCATTACCTTAGCCACGGCACTGGTTTTGATAGAGACTAAGCACTTGCTTTGTACAGGATGGAGAATTGAAGGCAGGCAGACATGCTGGATTCCTTTGCTAGGTTATCATGATGATTAAATGTAGACTAGTAACTATTTCATGTAGTTACTGTACCATTGTAAATAAACCTTTCCCAGCAGCTTATGCTCACTTTGGTTATGATGAGGATGTTAATGATAACAATAGATACTTATCAAGCCTTTATGATGCTAGATACTTTCATAGGTACTTTCTGACAGTCAACTGTGCAGTGGCTCTTACATGTTTCAGTGGGGTCTGCGTTATGTCTTGGTTATTTTTGAGGTGATTTATAAGTAAAATTGCTATTTGTTTTGGGTGACGTAGAGATTTAGAGATAATGTCATTTCTATAGCATTATTCATTTGATTGCTGTCTTTAGTGGGAGTGAAATACTAATTGTGACTTATTGGTTCCTTCTTACTGAGCATTTAAAATGCCAGGGTCAGTGCTGAGGGATTCATAGAGTCACATTATTTAGTCTCTTTCCACCCCCATCTCATTAGATAGCTGGGAACTTTTCGGAGAGGATGTATATGAACCTTGCCAGTGTCATGATCAGTTTTGACTCCAGGTCTTCACATCCTCTCTGGCTCCTTCTCTTACTGTTTCTTCCCAAGTAACTCAGCAGGAGCTGTACTTTACAGTGAGCATGTCCATAGGTGTCTGTTAGGAATGTGAAGAACATGAGTTGATGAAGAGCCAAGTTACTATGAGCTAGTGGACAGAGTGGTGTTATGTTCTTGGCTAGAGGTCTTACTAGAATGATTTTGTTGAACTTATTTTCCCCCTTTGCTCTTTTGTCAGAGTAACCAGGGAGCACAGAGAAATGCTGGTGAAACTGGCCAAACAGAACACCAACAAGGCCAAAGACAATTTACGGAAGGTTCGTACCAGTGCGATGAATAAGCTGAAGAAATCAAAGGACAAGACTTCAGAGGACACCATTAGGCTCATAGAGAAACAGGTATTATTACCAGTAGATGGAGCATTTATGTAAATGACACCCACAGAGCCCATGTGCTCACGTCTCAAGCAAGGACAGTTAAAACACAATGTCTCTGGTCCACATGATCAACACTAAGTCTGTATTCTAGGTCTAACCACAAGCTGAACTCTGGAAGGATCCACAGGAAAGGATAAGATGCTGTTGATCTTTGACTGTGTGCCAGGCTTTGTGCTCAACACTTCGTTTCTCCTCATCACTACAAAACTGAGGTGGGGGCCGTAGGTATAGCCAAGTACCTAGCGTGCACAAGGCCCTGGCTTCAGTCTCCAGCACTGAAACAACAGCAGCAGAACTGTAAGATATGAGGAGACTTTGAGGTTCAGTAAAGTCCTCGAGATGCCTGCTAATGGTCCAAACTCAGGCAGACTGATCTTAGAGCTAATTGCTAGTGCTATCCTGTCTGGTTTCTGATTGTTGAGAGATGAGAATCTATGTTCTCACTATGCCGAGTAGTGATGCTCCTGGAGTAAAGTAGTGAGAGCAGCAGGGCACAGAAGACCAGCATGCACAGAGGTGTGGAGATATAAAAGACCCTTTTCCACAAGTTAGGGGGCTTGATTATAGGATGAGTCTAGGGAATGAGTTAGAAGATAGACTGGCCATATCATAGAAGGTCTTATGAACCAGGGTGAGGAGTTTGAATGTAACATGTCCAGAGAGTTCCCACATTGGCTGTGCATCTGTATCTGTTACCTGTGACCACAATAATGCTGAATAACCAGCTACCCCAAATGATAATTTGCAGTATCAGATCATTATTTCTTATTCCTGTTTCTGTGGCCAGCTGAGGCGTAGGTGTTCTAGGTTGGGCTTTGTGAGCTCAGCTTGTGATCATGGATTGGGCTCAAGTACGCTTTATATATCTCATAATTTTCTATAGTCAGCAAGTTTCCTGGAGCATCTTTCCTTGGCAACAGCAGATACAGGACCATAAGTCTTTAACAACCTAAGCATGTTTGAAGCAGTTGCACTTAATCCCATCCCATTGACCAAAACACCAGCCAAGCCTGATAGTGCCATTACATGGAATCACATGTGTTCAAGGAGGGTCTGAGGGGTATGTGTGACTATTTGATGAATAATACTTTATACTTATGAAAATACAGGTGTTTGGGGGCTGGGGAGATGGCTCTATCAATATAGTGCTTGCTGTGCAAGAATGAGGCCCTGAGTTAGATCCCCACAGCCCATGTGAAAAAGCCAGACATGGAGGTAGCCACCCATAATCCCAACACTGGGAGGTGAAGGCAAGAGGACTCTGGAGCTCACTGGCCAGCCAGTCTAGCCAAATTGGTGAGCGCCCAGGTTCAGGGAGATCCTGTCTCAAAAAATATGATAGAGTGCAGTTGAGGAAGATAGCCGATGTCAACTTTGGGGCTCCATGCTTGTGTACATACATGTGTACTGTATTCCCACATAAATACATGTGTACACATGTGTGCGCACACACACACACACACACACACACACACACACAGAGAGAGAGAGAGAGAGAGAGAGAGAGAGAGAGAGAGAATAAAAGTACAGCTATCTGAGGCTAACTCCCAGAGATTAAATCAGAAATCTGGAGTGGAGCCCAGGAATTTTTAAATGGTTCCCAGGCAGTTTTCATACAGTAACTCTATTGAAAGATTTTCTTTTTCAGATAGTGAGATCACATGTATGCTTATGAAAGATGATTGTAGTGGTCAGGTAGAAAACATTGTAGGGAGGGAGTACAAAACCAGGGGCTGGGAGACGTCACAGAAATCCAGCCAGGAAGTGGCATTGGCCTTAGCCTGAGCAGTGTCATGGGGAAGTGAGGGAAGGAGGGAAATTTACCAGGATTTAGGAGAGGAAATGAGAGCAGTTAGGGTTAGGGTTAGGCTTAGGGTTAGGGTCATATAAAGTCTTGGTGGGCCCCAAAGCTGCTTTGTGCACAGTGGAAGTATTTTGTTAGGAAAGTTGAAAAGTGATAGGGTAGGATGGGAATGGAGGAGGAAAGGAACCAGAGCACGATGAGCTCTGGGGTACCCCTGAAGGAGATATGAAGTGACTAGCTACCTCCATTCTGGACCAGTAGTTAACATGCCTGTTGTGGGCCAGCCAACAGTTACTTGAGGGAATTTTAATGAATTCCTAGGCCTTGTTCCTACCTTTTTTTTTTTTTTTTGGTATTTTTGATTAGATTTTTGTGATTTTCATACAATATAATTTGTTGGCATTTAGATCCACTTCTGCCTCCACACCTACCCCCACCCCCCGCATTTTATGATTCTGTATGTCCGTCTAGAATGCTGGGGGGGGGAGCTTCTTTAAAAATTTATTTTTATTTTTTAATTATCTGTTTATGTGTGGTCTTTGTACATAGATGTGTGTGAATGTAGGTGCCTGTGAAGTCCAGTGGAGGGCAACTCCCTGAAGCTGGAGTTACAGGGGTTGCAGTCTACCTTTATGAGTCCTCTTAAATAGCAATAAGTGTTCTGAACTGCTGAGCCATCTCTCCAGCCCCCAAACATGTATTTTTAAAAAGCTCCCATGATAATCCTGCAAAAGCATACTCTGAAGAGAAGGACCTTTAGAAGCTTTATAATACAAAAGAAAGAAATTGTTCTGTACCTGATGTCCTGGGTCCTCAGAGGAGTTTGACCCGTTGGCTCTATTTTTTCTATAAAGAGGGTTTGAGCCTTTTCTAGTGGTGCGTATCTTTAATCCTGGTACTTGGGAGGCAGAGGCAGGTGGATCTCTATGAGTGTGAGGCCAGCTTGGTTTACTTAGAGAGTTCCAGGCAAGCCAGGGCAACATAATGAGACCCTATCTTTAGGGAAAAAAAATGGTTTGGTAATTTCTGCTTTGAAGGGGTTCCTGGGATGCTAGAAAGCACCATAAGGATTCCTAACCTTTAAACCTGCAAGTCTCCTCTCTTGCCATCTTCTGTGTCAGCTCAAAGGAACAGTCCTAGATTAGGCTGGCCTTCTCTGATCAGGCCTCAGAACCTGCTGCTGGTCTGTACCCTAGGGAATTATATCTTTGCAGTGGACACCTGGCCTTTCTGTCCTTTCATGGTAGTAACTGTGGCCCTCCTAGGCCTCCCAGACTGTCTTCACTAAGCAGGTTAGAGTGTCTGTCTTAGGACGCAGAGTCCTTGCTCCTTAAAGAAGAAAGAATGCTCGATAATCAGTGCTCTTGTTAAAACCACTTGGCAGAGAGCTTGCCAGAAGCCTTTGCTCATTGATGCTTGCGTGCCCCTTCTCTTCAGAGTGCACTTTTGCCTTTCATTGCTTCTGATTGTTTATTATCTTTTCAAAGCAAAGCTTTGTTTTTCTGATACTAAACCAATTCATGTTTACTGTGATAAAGAACACAGAAAGTCATTGACATATCATCTCTTAGAGACAGCCATTGTCAACATTTTAGTAAGGTTTTTCAGGCTGTCTCTGAGCAGATTTGTGAATTCTTATGTGCAGTATCATCAGGCTTCCAGTGAAAAGTCTGTGCTAGAGACGATTTCACTGCTGCCTCAGAGACGTCATTTCATTGCTGACTCCTAACTTCACTTAGGTCATGTGGTTGAAGCCTGGGCAGGAGGCTCCTCATTTGTTCTCTATTCGGAAGGCACCAAAGGAGTTTTTGGTGTGGGTTTTTGTTTTTGTTTTGCTTTCTATAAACAAGCCTGCTGGCTGATTGTTGCTTCATCAACAGTTTAAAATTTTTATTTGTTTACTTTTGTGTCTGATTATCAAAGTAATATCTGCTCATTATAAAAAATGGTAAATACGAAGACTGTTTAAAAAATCTGGTCAAGAATCATCCCATAAACCCCTACCGCAGAGGCAACTGCTTTCAGCATTTCGGAAGAGTTCTTTCTTTCCCCTACATAGTTTTAAATAAATTTGAGTATATACAGTATGTATAAATTTTTGCATCTAGGTCTAATTTTTCATTTGGTATAAAAAAAGACTATAGCTTTTATGTGTCTTAAAAGCTTTTTGCAAATGGCCATTTCTAATGATTGCCAAATAGTTCATCTGTAATTCACCTTTTTAGATATTTAAAATTTTTTAAACTTATATTTAAAAAATTGTTAGTAAGGTTGCAGTGAATATCTTCATTGTAAATCCTTGTGTTTTCGTAGGGTAGAACATACCAAGTATGGACTTACTGAACAGAGAAGTGCACAGACTTTTTTTTGTTGTTGTTTTTATCCCATTGCTGAAAATTGAACTGATATCCTTTCACGTACTAGGCAAGTGCTCTACCACTGAGCTCTACCCCAACCCAGAAATGCATCTTTTTAAGGATCTTCATATATACTGCCTAGATCACTTTGGGTTTTTAGGATTTGTGTATTGTTTCAAATTTACCGCTCCCCCATAGTCTCCCTGTGTATCTGAGGGTGGCCTCAAATTAACTGTGTAGCCCAAGCTAGCCTCAAGCTTATGCTGCTCTTGCTCTAGCTCCTGAGTACTGGGATTACAGGTGTGCACCACCATGCCCAGGGTATTTTACGTTTTCTAGGTCTTAACACTTGAACTGAGATTTCGGTTTGTTTTGAGACAGCACCTTGCCATGTAGCCCTGGCTGGCCTGGTACTTACTGTATGGTCCAGTCTAGCCTCAGACTCATGGTAGTCCTATCTTAGGTTCCTGAGTACTAGGACACAGGTATGTCCACCGATACGTGGATGAACTAAAAGATTTTTAATGTGAGCTTAAAATTTGTTGATTGTCTTCAAAGCATTTTTACTTCCACTCTCTAGAGAACAACTTGTTATTGTTAATATAAATCTTATATAACCTTTTTAGAGACTAGTATGCCAGTATATGCCCCAAGTCCATAATAGTTCTGATTCATAACTTGGAAATTTATCCAAGAGAGGCTTCAAGAATTTCTTGACATGTATAGGCTGTTGTATATCATTAATATTATGTTTAATAATAGAAAGCGAGAAAGTGTCTGAATATCTAACAGAGGAAAAACAATTCTTATAGCCATTCATTGGAATTTATATAGGAGTTATGAAATATTTCATTGACATGGACATTTTTTACACTTTAGTATTTTTAAAATAGTGGACTGTACAACATTCTAGTTACATTTAAAATTTTTTATGTTTATTATTTTATGAACATACTACCTGCATGTAAGTGCACTGTGTATGCAATGCCTATGAAGGCCAGAAGAGGGCATTGGGACCCCTGAAACTGGAGTTATAGATAGTTAGCTGCCATGTGGGTGCTAGGAACCAAACCTAGGTCCTCTACAAGAGCAGTCAGTGCTCTTAACCACCAAGCCATCTCTCCCAACCCCACAATTACATTTTTTTTTAACAAGTCACATGGACATACAATGATTGACAGTTTGTACGTATCAAAATAATATTAGAAGTGGTCATTTCAGGTGATGAAATTATGAACAGCCCTGTATTTTTTGTGAAATTGACTTTTCTTTTAAAATCATGTTCCAGGATTCTTTCAAGATCAGATTATTTGAAATGTTTTTCTAGCAATGTTTCTTTCATCTTTGATGTGTAAGACTGAAATGATTCAGCTGTAGGTTCTGTCTCAGCTATTGTATCTGACCCCAAACTCCCTCAGCCCCTCCAAACTTCCCAGCCCCCAGCCCAGGCCAGCTCTACTTCAGGACTAGGGAACATCAGCTCTGGACTCTTACATCTGCCAGCCTGCTGTTTCACTTAAGCTTTAGTTTGCTATAAATGGGCCTGCTGAGCATTCAGCAGGAACTTGGCAGGAACCATAGTGGCTCTGGCCAAGATCCTTTCACTACTGCCTCTCTCTGAGAAACAGGGCAACTCTGAAATGAGTGGAGCTGGGTGCTAGTGGGGCTAGGGAGGGGACAACCCTAAGACAACGGCAGGCAGGGAAGCCAGACCCAGCAAGACAGTCCTCATGACGAATGGCTTGTATGCAAGCCTGCATTCTGTCCTCCTGTTACCCCCTTCTCTGGTCCCTGCCTTCCATCCTTCTGAACTTGTAACCAACAAGTGCAATGATGATGATGGTGCTAATGATAATAGTGGTGGTGATGATGGTGATGGTGGTGGTGGTGATGATGATGGTGGTGATGATGTTGGTGGTGATCATGATGGTGTTGGTGGCGGTGATAATGATGATGGTGAGGATGATAATGGTGGTGGTGATGATGGTGGTGATCATGATGGTAGTGGTGATCATGATGGTGTTGGTGGCAGTGATGATGATGGTGAGGATGATGATGGTGGTGGTGGTGGTGATGATGATGGTAGTGGTGATCATGATGGTGTTGGTGGTGGTGATGATGGTGGTGATCATGATGGTAGTGGTGATCATGATGGTGGTGGTGGTGGTGATAATGATGGTAGTGAGGATGATGGTGGTGGTGGTGGTTATGATGGTGGTGATGGTGGTGATGATAATGATCTTATCCTTGCAAGGCAGGGTATGATAGTGGAAATTGTTCTTACTTTAGAATCAGGCAGGCCTACATTCAAATTCTAGCTCTTTTATTCCCCAGATGTGTATGCCAGGAAATCTGTGTGTCTCTTTGCTTATCTTTGTGGGATAGTCTATGCCTCTGCCACAGGATTGATTATGAGGGCTAGAAGGCATGCACACTTAGAAGTAACTAGTACGTTCCTGGTCGATGGTAATTTTCACCTTGTTTGTCTATTCCACTCTATTCCCTGACCTTGTGATTTTAAAGGAGATGGGACTAACTCTTTAATGACCCTAACACATGGCTGGACTGAGAAAGTAGGCCAGGTGCTATGGAATAGGATTGTCAAACTGGCCATCAGGGGTGAGTGGGTTTTTGTCCAGCCCATAGTACATAAAAAGGTAGCAGGCAGAGCACTTCCTGTTCCGTCCAAGGTCACCTTGGTTTGTTTTTTTTTGTAAAATGGGGACGATACCTGTTCTACTTGCTAGGGTTATGTGGGATGGTTGGATTTCAGGGAATGAAGTAACAAAAGACATCCTTGTATTCAGTAGAAACTTTTATGCAACAGGTAGGTGAAAATACACTAACGGAGACATTTCATATGTCCTGTGGAATATGTGAAGAATGCCTGTAAAATGTTAATGTAGGTCTGATGTGTAGAAGTACTTGGTGATAGGAGCTGTTGGTGCTGATATTGTCATTAATCATCCGTATTTTAGGAAGTCTGGTCTAGACGGAAACAATGAACCTGCAGGTAGATTGTTCCCAAGGGCCCTTTGTACTTAGAATCTGGGAAAAAGCTAGTAAATAGTTTTATTGATAGACTAGCTTGAGGTCAGAAAGTGACGTAAAAGTCACAGTAATGCAGCCAACATTTGCATAGCAGATAACCAGTTTAAAGCGTACTTGTATGCTCATGGTTTTGCTTAACTTTTCTCTGAGGATGGGGCTGACCTCCTCATTGGATAGACGAGGAAACAGACCTAGAGGTGTGAAAGTGACTTGCACAGTCTCTCATCTTACCAGATTCTTACCTAGATAGTCTCTCTCATCTCCCCATCCTTCTGTCCTGATACCCTCACTGCAGCCTTTGGCCTTGGTCACCCCTGGTTGGCAGCCTGTGGTGCTGGTGTGGTGCTGGTATGCTGCTGGGCACTGCTCCCCACCCTATGCTAGGAACTGCAGGGACCTGAGCATCTCAAATGTTTGTGACTGAGGAAGGAGGAAGCTGCCATTCTGAGTCCAGCCACTCTTCCGAATGTCTGGCAACCTTGGGAGCTTTGCTTTTTCGGCTGAACAACGTGTAGTTTTTGCTATGATGAGAACTTGGCCACCTTCCTGTCTGGGACCAATTGCTGCAAGTCCCTTTTAGTTTCAACTCTTTCAAACAGTGCATTTAATTCCTAATTCCTGGCCAAAGCCTGTGGTCGGCAAATAAAGATGTCAAGCAGCTGCCGCGCTGCTGAGCATACAGATCCTGGGCACCTTGCTGTTGCTCTCAAAGCATTCTGCCTAAGCTTCCTGCCTTCATTTCAACCTTGCCATTTAGGCTTCAGAGAGAGTCTGCAACCCCTACTGAATTATATTGTTTTCATTCTTAGAAAGACATACATACTTAGTACAGAAAAACAGAAAACTTTAATACTTTTCCACTTAGTAAATACTTCTGAGAACTTGATATGTGTCATGTCCTGGGTTGGTGGGATGTGACCAGTACAGACATGAATAATACATTGTCTTTCCATCACTTCAAGTTAGACTGTTAATATTTTGGCAGGTGTCCTTCTAATTTTAAAAGTATGCAACTTTTTGTTAAAATCATTTCTCCTATAGATACATAAACAGAAGTTTGGATCTTGAATTGATTTTTCTTAAATTGAAGGATAACATGAACATGTCTCCATGATATTTGAAATATCTGGAAACATTTTTCAAAAGGGTTTTTCCAATTACAAGTGTAGCTCGTGTTTGTTACAGACCACTCAGGCATTCGGGACTAGATACTGGGTTGTTGGTCGTGTGTGTCCTCTTCTTGAGAAATTGGTGCTCAGCGATTTGTAATGACTACAAGTATTCACATCTTTCCCCATCCTGTAACTTTAGATTTTCTGATGTTTTTTTCTACTATTAAAAGTAATGCAGGGGAGCTGGAGAAGTGGCTGTGTTTAAGAGCACATACTGCTCTTGCAGAGGACCTGGGTTCAGTTTCCAGCACCTCCATCAGGTGTCTCACAACTCCTGTAACTCCAAAGGGTCTCTGACGCCCTCTTCTGGACTCCATAGGCGCACGCATGCACGCACACACACACACACACACACACACACACAGTGCACATAAATGCACACAGGCACACACACATGCACATGAATTTTAATTTTTTAAAGATTAAAAAATAAACCTGGGATATGTTTGCATCTTAAGAATTTTATGTTCAGATCATAATCATGTGATAGTATCCCCACTGAGAGATTTGTGGCCAAATAGTATGAACATTTGCAACCATTTGAGTTCCTACCTGTGATAAGAGTTTATCCATTCGCTGTAGCTTGCTGGTATTGAATATTGTAATTAGAAACCACAGCATCAAATTTAGTTAACTACGATAGCTGAACTGTATCTTGTTTTAATTTACGTTTTTTCAGTGTCTATGAATTTTCCATGTTTGTTGACCAGATGTGCTTCATCTTTTTAAAAGGCATTTGTCTTTTGCTTGACCTTGGGCTCTTACTGTTCTTTTTATCTGACCATGAAGGCCTTCTGTAATAGAGTAGCTGAGGTGTAAGCTAGGGCTCCTCAGGAGTCAGATAGGCTGGCTTTTCTGAATCATATGACAGTTTGAAATGCTGGCACGTACAATTGGACGACTGTGTATTAAAGTTTGACATTTCGACTTTCTCGTTGGGAACAGTCTTATCTATCTCATGGGACTGTTGTTAGGAATCACCAAAATTTTCTTCATAGATCTCATTTTTAAAAAATTCATTTGCATTTTATGTGTATAAGTGTTTTGCCTGCCTGCATGTATTTAAGTACACCCATGTCGTGCAGCGCCTGTGGAGATCAGAAGAGGGTGTTAGATCCCCTGGAACTGGAGTTACAGGTATTTGTTAGCCACCATGTGGATACTGGGAACTGAACCCGTGTCCTCTGCAAGAGCAGCCAGTGCTCTTATCCACTGAGAGATCTCTCCAACCCCTCTTCATACATTTCTTAATGCAGTACCTGGTTTATGCTCAGTTAATGTGAACTTTTCTCAGTGTCGTTATTTCCCAGATAACCTTTGCATATTTGGAACATTAGTTCCCCTGCCCCATCGCAGCCCTAGTTGTCAATGTGCTTCCTTTTGTGTTCTTGCAGATCAGCCAAATGGCCGACGACACAGTCACAGAGCTGGACAGGCATCTGGCAGTAAAGACCAAAGAACTCCTGGGATGAAAATCCATCAGTCCCAGCCACACACCAGAGTCTGGTTTCTGGTCATCCCAGAGGTGACAGACTGGCACCTCCCACCACCCTCTCCAGCCTTCCAGTGGGATGCCCAGACTTACCGAGTCTCTTTCTCGTTTCCCTGCCTAGCCCCATTCTGCTTTGAGCCTTCTGGTGTGGCATCCCTCAGAGGCACTGCTGCTGGTAGACGACCTTTACCCTGGCAATGGTCTTGACTGTGACGTCACCAGGGATAAGACTGGGACCGTCGGCAGGCTTAGCACCCTGCTTCTCATTGCTGCAGCCTCCTTGCAGGCCTGCCCCTTGTGTTCGACTCATGTTTGGACTTCAGTCTGACTGGTAACAATAAAACCTAAATAAATTGGAAAAATGGCAACCACAAAGGAAGGGTAGAGTGGTCCAAATGGAAGAGCTCCAAAAACCTGTATGTGAAGCAACTGAGAATAGTGCTTTTTCCTCTCCATCGTCTTCACACTGCTGTTTTCTGCTTGGACCCTTTTCCTCTCCTCATCAGCTAGTCCTGTTTATGGTGGATATCATATCCTCTGAGAAGTCTCTGCCCCCCCACCTAGGGCTCCATTTTGGGCTTTTAGTCTCTGTCTTCTGCTTTGATTTGAACCTCTGATTTTGTTTTTCCTCGTCTGTATCTTGACATAGTACCTGGAGAGACTGACTCACAGGAACACTTGAAGTTGTCCATGTATTTGTGTTATGAATAAAATGTACATAATAGCTACTCAGAAAATGCTGACTTCTTTCTTCTCTGTCTGTCACTTTCCCACTCCTGTCTCTGCCAGCATTTATTTGGTAATGAGATACCTTTCCTCTGGCCCTGTCTTATAAATAGGTCAGTGGTTTGTTATGTCCAATCTTTTTCTTTAACTTTGTTTCCTCCCTCCCTCCCTCCCTTCTTCCTTCCTTTCTTTGTATGTGTGTGCACACAAATGTGTACATGCCATAGCATGCATGTGGAGGTCAGAGGACAACTCGCAGGAGTTGGTTCTCTCCTTCCACCATGTGGGACTTGGGGATAGAACTCAAGTCCTTCAACTTGGCAAGTGCCGCTAAGCGATGTCACTGATCCCATTGTGGCCTGGCTTTTGAGTGGCAGGTTAAGTTAGTTTTTTACCCTCGGTCATTTTTTTTTTTCATTCATTTAGTTGATTTATAATATAGCTAACATGAGCTGGGTTCATTTTTAGGTATTATTTGTAATAGTCACAGGAAACTACACAGATGTATATCACTTGCATTTATAACAGGAAAACAAACTTGACAGTATTAGGCAATGAAGCCTCCCAAAATAATGGAGTTGGAAAGATAGTTTTCATTATTCATTGTTTTTCTCATTTTACAAGGAGATAAAGTTTGCACAGCATCTCACAGCTAGGGAGCAGCAAAGCCAGAGGTTAAAGCACTGGCTGCTCTTGCAGAGGACCTGGATTTGATTCCCACATGGCAGCTAACAACTGTCTATTAACTCCAGTTCCAGGGGATCTGATGCCCTCTTCTGATCTCTGTGGGCACTGCATGACACAGGTGCATTTACATATATATGAGCATAACATGCATACACATAAAATAATAAAAACCAAATTGATGCCTGATTCAAAAGTTCACTCTTTCCACTAAGGTTAGAGGAAAAAAACCTTTTTCTTAACATAGTCTTATACTCATTGTGAATTACTCCTGTGTCTCCAGGGTGTGTCAACAGTTGGTGGGTGTCTTGTACTGTAATTCAGTTCTGATGCATCTACTTAAAAACAGTGTAGGGCCCACACTCATCCCTGAAAAGATGCTCCCATCTCTGATGTCTGTCACAAGGCTGAACCACTCAAGCATAGTTCCAATCTTTTTTTTTTTTTTTTTTTCTGTCTTTTTGAGACAGGGTCTCCCTGTAGCCCAGCTGTCCTGTGTAGACCAGGCTGGCCTTGAACTCACAGAGATCTGCCTGCCTTTGCCTCCTGAGTGCTAGGATTAAAGGTGTGCGCCACCACGCCTGGCTCAATCCTCTTTTTTTAAAAGTTGTATTTATTTGTTGTTATTTTATGTGTATAAGTGTTATGCCTGCATGTGTGTAAGTGCACCGTGTTGTGCATTGCCCGCAGAGGAAAGAAAGAGGGCGTCAGATCTCCTGGAATTGGAGTTATGAATGATTGTTAGCCACTATATGGGTGGTGGGATTCAAACCCCAGTCTTGCCAGAGCAGCCAGTGCTCTTAACTGCTGAGGCTTCAGCCCCCTTCTTTGATCCAGTTAATTTGCTAGGATGGCTCACAGGACTTGGGAAACAGGTTTACTGGCTTATGAAGGAAGCATGAAGATGAGCAGACAGAGGGAAGGATGTGGGGAGTGTTCCTCCGCTCTGCAGCATCCCGGTGGCTACCCTCCCAGCACAGTCATGTATTCAGTAGCAGTAACCAGAAGAAGCCACTGCCGCCTGCCTCCTTGTAAGCATTTAGTGAGCACCAGTTGTTTGTCAGGTACTATGCTGTGTGCTATGCAAAAACTGGTAGGTTGTGGCCTCTGTCTGCACAGTGCCACCACAGTGAACTCACTTGCTGTTACCGTGTCTTGAACAGAAAGGTTTGTTCCAGTGCTACTACACTGCTGCTTTCAAGATGGAACTTGGGTGGCAGCAGGGCCTGACCACACTCCTCTAAGGTAGCATCCAACTCTTCTTCCCTCTTTGACTCCCTCCACTCTGTGGTGCTGGGTAATGAGGGTTCTGCTGTTGCCTCTCCTCATGCTGGTTGACCCTGCTGTGAAATAGCCAGTGAGGATTCAAGGTCAGGATTATGCCAAGGATGAAAGGAACTGGCATGCCCTCCTACCAGCTTACCTATCCCCAGAGCCCCAGATCAATGGGAAGTCAGTCAGGGTAGAACAGGGCAACCACATGGCAGGGGCTTTGCCGCAGATTTTGTGAGTGGTCAAAATCCCCCCTCACTGCAAATGCGCTTCTCAAAGATGCAGGATTTTTTAATAAACAGAGGAAATGATAAATTATGTTGTAACTCCACTCCAAAGGCATTTGGTTCTTAACAGCCAAATCCTCTGTAGTCTTTAAATAAACAAAAACTTATTTGGCGAACAGACGGGGGGTTGAGGGAGAGAAGAGGGAATGAAAGATTTTCGGTACTTGGGTTCCACATGTCAACAATTTCTGTCCTGTGTGTGTGTTGGCCAAAGCCGTATATCATGATAAATGAATAAAGGAAAGCCCAAGCCCAGGGCGGCTCAGCAAATGGCTTTCAGCTGATTGCTCTATTTCAGTTGACATTTAGCAAAGAGTGGCCCTGCTGCTCTGGGTGCTGGGGTTGTGGTGGCAGAGACTAGAAAGAGACTACCTATTTGAATGTGCTGAGTAACGAGTGTATGGGAGCAGTCCAGCCCCTTCTCCCTCTGACAGTTCTCTCTCTCAAAAGGAAGAGCTGGATGTGGAAGTTCTCACACTTGCCAGAAGTATAAACTACCTCCTCTGTTCAGTTATTCTCCAAGTCCCATGAAAAACTCTTAAGTTTTTTCTGCCTGTTTATGTTTACGTGTATGTAAGAAACATGTGAAAAGTTAAAAATGAAATTTCTCATGGTTGGGGAGATGGTACAGCTGGTAAGAGAGTTTGCTATGCAGGCATGAGAACCCGAGTTTGAATACTCAGCACCAAGGTCAGAAGCCAGACATGAACGCCTATAATCCCAGCATTGGGGTGCCAGACTGGTGGATCCCAGGTAGCCAGCCACCCAGCCAAAATGATGAGTTTCTAGGTCAGTGAGAGACAGAAAGACACCTGTCATCCTCCTCTGGCCTCTGCATGCACACACATGGCTACATGCTTTTGACCACTCAAATATACCACACACACACACACACAATTTTTAAAAGCCAAAAAAATTTTTCTCACAATTATCCAATTTTATCCCCCTTTAAAATGAGGTATAAAAAGGAAGGAGGAAAGCTGTTGTGTTCGTGTTCTGGTTTGCTTTTTAACCCTCAGACAGCCATGACTATCTGTCCATGTGTGCACATACAGATACAATTCCTTCTTTCAATGCCATGCAGTTATTTCATGCTGTAGATCTACTGTTACGTACTTCACTCTTAGGCCCATGATTTTTTTTTTTAAATCAGTGCATTAGAGGATGTTCCTATTTAAAGAGGTTTATTATTATTATTATTATTAAAGGACCCCTGTTGACCAGGTTTGGTGGCTTATGCTTGTAATTTCACACTCAGGAGGTTGAGGCGCAAGGAGCACCTTGAGTTAGGGGCCAACCTGGGCTATAGATCATGTCTCTAAAAAGAAAAAAAAAAGGCCAAGCATGATGTCACACTTGGGAGGTAGAGGCAGGCAGATCTCTATGAGACTGAGGCCAGTCTGGTCTACATAGTGAGTTCCAGGCCAGCTGGGGCTGCAAGAAAAAGAAAGAAGGAAAGGGAAGGGGAAGAAAATAATTAAAAAGCGTTGGTGCAGTGGGTCAGCAGGTCAAGGCACTTGCCACCAAGCCTGGCCTGATGTGAGCACCATCCCTAGGACCCATGAGGTAGGAGGAGAATTGACTTCCTTACCTTAAGTTGTTCTCCAACCTCACGTGTGCCATGACATGCACACATGATAAATAAATGCATAAATATAATTACAGAAATTTTTGAAGGATGCCTAAGATCTGGTGAATTCCGCTCTTTGTCCTGTAGCTGCAGACATGTTTATTGAATGCCTGCTGTGAACTCAGTACCATGCTAGACCTCCTTAACATGTATTCCTGCACTGACACTCATCTGAGTGGATGTAAGTACTGCTATTATCTATATTTACATATGAGTATACTGATGTTCAGAAGGGGTATTTAACTTGCCTATAGTCACACAGCCTAATACACACTAGAATGAAGTTTTACTCCCAGATCTAACTTTGAAGTGGGTCCTTAATCCTTGTGCTTCACTGACACTTCCTCTAAATGTGCGTGACTCTGCCTTGGGTCTGGAAGGTGGTTTGGCCGTATATATAACAATAATCTAATCTTAAGATGGCATTCACAGTCCCTGGCCCTAGTAAACCCGGAAGAAGCAGCTGCTACAGAGATAGTAAAGATTACGTCTTCACACCCAACCTGGTTGGCAACTTCTCTAAAATGTGTTTGAGAACCAGGGAGTGAGCAGAATTGAAGAGGTGAAAAATGGCACAGCAGTGACAGCTGCAGGGGGATATTCCCCGAGTGCCGCTTAGTTTCCAAAGTGCTTCTACATCTTTCCCCCACTGGAACCAGTGAATAAGACTCTCCTGCTCCCTAAGCCCTTGATGGAGGCTGGCTTTGCCCTATATGTGCCCTGCATTCATGATGTATGACTGCAGAATGTTGTCTGTTGAGAGAGCACATTTAATACATCCAGGAAATGTAGCACAAAAATGCTGTCCCTTGGCCTTTCTAGAGCCTTGTTTTTTGGTGATTTGATGAATCTTGGCTGAGTGGTCTATCTGTGTCCTGCTAATTGCATTCCTTTATCTCCATGCATTTCCTGCAGTTTCTGCTGTATGTGTCTGCTGCCAGGTCATTTGAAGCAAGACCCCAACATCTTCACTGCCTGAGTCCTGTGTCATATTTAAGATCACAGGCCTGCATGCTTTTTGCTTCT